TAAAAAAAAAAAAAAAAAAAAAAAAAGCAGCTCCATAGAAACTTTTCTGTGTCCATGTCTGAATTTAGCTAGGAAACCACCACCAGTCCAGCTGTGGGCAAGCCCACCTAGGTTTTCAGGCCCACATACGTTGTAATGCACTCTCTCACCGGGTCACCCTTTGACCACTCGGATGCACCCTAGACTCTATGGTTTAGGGTCAGTCATGCCATATATATATAATAGCATTTCTTCCCATGAAACTCACTGGCTTGTAAGATGCAAGTCATGGGATTGAATTTGGTCAGTAAAGGCTGGGTCATGGATACCTGAGAAATCACTGTGGTCTGTTGTGACATATGAGATCAAGCGGGCTGCTTTTTCTTACCTGCTTCTCACTTGAGTCTGTCGCTCAAGTGAGAAGCAGGTAATTCTCAATGGAGGAACCTTGATTTCTGTTTCCACTTGGTTTGGCAGTGCCGGAGTTTGTTGATCTGTTTGTACTATAGAGAGTTTGTCTGTTTACTCAAGCTTTGGTCTAGAGGGGCTAATTGCAAAGAGGATGCAGAATTATTTCAGCAAGGAAGCCGGTGGTTTTGGAGGCTGCCAAGGTGTTAATTTTGCACCTGTGCTTAGACTACACGGAGAGAATCACTTTACAAATAACATTTAAAAAATGACACCCATTCAGGTGGAACTGTTTCCAGAGTGACCGTGTTACAAGCCTGTTAAATTCCAATCAGATCCAGGGTGATAACAATAAACATATCCATAACAATTGTAGGGCCTTTCTGTAATCTCTGAGTGGTCATTTTCCTTAATGCTTGTATCTCTTTAACAAGCCTGTTATGACTTCACTGTGGAAATGGTCTCCTTTAATTGTCTCAAACCCCAACGTATTTGGATCTGCTTTTGAAAGTGTCCATTATTTGTGCTCTAATGATCCAAAGGTGCTCGGGACAGCTGGGATTCTGCTACTCTGAAAATGAACTACCCTGTCACTTTTCTCAAGATCAGTATTCTGCACTTCTGGGGCACTTTCCAAGAATTCAAAGAACTTTTTCAGCATCCATTGGATTTTGTCTCCCGAGACCCCACTGGTGAGTTAAGCAATTTTAACAATAGACCCAACACTCTCAAACATGGGTGCTAAAAGTTAGTTCTTAAAGAGCCAGATTTCCCAAGTACCTAAAGATGCAGTAAGTGCCTAGTAAAATTTTACAAAGCCCCCAGGGTTCTGTCTCCTATGAAAGTAATGGCAATTTGGTGCTTATGGACTTATCTATTCCTAGATCTCTACATACCTCGATCTACACATGTTTAAGCAGTCATTTTTTTGGAGACAGTGGGCACATCTACATGGTCATGAATGCACTTTTGCTAATGCACATTAAATTTAGTACCTCCATTGTAAGGTTACTAGAAAATGGCTCATTAGTTTATTTTACTGTGCATTCGTGAGAGTGCAGTTTTTTGCGATGCTTTAATGCGCATTAAAATAGGTTAGTGCGCATTAAAGTACACGTGTAGATGTGCCCACTGAGCACCCTCAGGTCCTGTTGACTTGAGTGAACATTGAGGGCAAGTGGTTTTTCATGAGGCACACATAGCACTTCAGTCTCAAGGTTTGTTTCTCCTTGATGGTGATTTGTGACTTCAGGCTGCTTCCAGACTTTAAAAAAACAAAACAAAAAAAGCACACTTTACCGAAAGAAGCAGCATGTTAGTTGGACCCGGCTCTGCAGCATCCATATAGATTGGGTGCTTCAGCAGGGCTTTTTGGTGCTTTTATCTAATAGCTGATTCAATCAGCTATTAGATAAAAGCCCACAAAAGCACCCGATCTATACAGACATTAGGTGAGCTGGATCCAATGCCTTTTTTTGGCGCATGCTGGGATTGGCACGAGAGCACACCGAGTTCAAAGTAAAGTGCCATTTGGGTTGTTTTTTTTTAAACTGTAAGCAGCCTCAGTGGCAGAGGAAGCACTTGGCAACAGGAAAAAAACTGGTAGTTTTTTTAAATGAGCTTTTAGGATCATGCCCTGCCTTCATTGGATCATTGTTGATTTAATCAGAACAGGGTCAGGTCCTAAATTTGTCAATGACATTTGTAATTTATGCATGACTCCACTACGGGGAGAAAAAACAGAAAAATGAGACCATTATGGCCTTGTGTCAAGCACAGGTTTAATAGGTAAGATGACAACAACAACAGATTGTGTTAACAGTTTGGGGAAGGGACTTATCCCCAGAACTACATTTTTAAATGGCCTTTTATAGAAAAGATAAAAAGACAAACAAAAGCCTCTGAAATAGTGTCCCATTACTAATACTAAGGAACCCTACACTAGACCTTAAAGAAAGCAACAGCATTTAGCACGGAGCACTGGGCTGTTGCAGAGTTTTCAGGGGTTGGATTAGCCTCTAAATGACTTATTTAGAGTAGCTGTCATGCTTTCTAATGCCATTATTTTCAGTGGGTTTGTATTTGTGACATGCTTAAGCTAATGCTGCACTGAAGAAAAAAGCAAAGCTCAAGGTGTGGTTCTGCAGTGTTGTGCTTGTGTTTGAAAAACAAACATGCTTCTTGGTAAAATGTGATATATCATGTAAACCTTTTAGGAAAATTAGCAGGACTTTTCTGCCCTGTGCACACAGTTATGTTCTAAAAAAGGAAGCAAACCCAAACCAATCTTCCGTATCTCCTCTAGAATGATCATAGTGATAGCAGAAGTCATCTCTTTACTTCCTAAGGATCCAGTCCTGCAACTTTGGGTCTAAGCCCAGTAAAATCAATGGGCATATACTGAGTACCTTCAGCTTGAGCTGAATTCCATGGGATAAGGCTACACAGGGCTTGTAACGTGTCACCAAATCATGGCCTAAATTCCACATCAATATCAGTCATGTTATCGGACTAAAGCAGAGGGCTGATGCTAATGCAAACTGAGGTGCTAATACTATGCTTCAAACTGAGAAGCAATTTAAAATGTCCAAGCATTTTTCTCAAGTTCAAAGTACCTTTTGGCATGATTGCTGATACGATAATCACCCATGTAAAATTAGTCCAATCCCGTACTGATCCCCCTGTACCTTTATCATGTTTTTTGTTGTAAATAGATTGTTGTACTAAGCCTGAGCACTGGTCTGCTCACAATTGTAAACCCAGTTTGAAATGGAGGTCTGATCATTAAATATATAGTTTTAATGGACATAAAGAAAACCGGTCAGCAGTGAAGGCAGTGATTATTGGATTGCTATGCATATCACTGTAAAAGTGGTAATAAGCTAGCTTTATAATGACTTTGTTTTAAATTCCTGCTCCAAAGTGCAGTGAAATGCCAAAGGAAAGCCTCTAATTGATTTTGACAGGTTTTGGGTCAGACCTGCAATTATTAACAGCAGTGCTGCTTAAAGTTGTTGATAGAGATTGGTCGGTTGTGGTTATCCGCTGTTAGCATGGAACGAAATGCCTCTCTGATGCACAGGTTGACTTACCAAAGCTGGTATCTAGCTTGGGCAGAAGCTATCATTGACATTACCTGAGTCCTAGTAGCTTATGCTGGCACTGACTTTGACTCAACAAGTTTATTTGTACACTGAGAAGAGAATTTGGCCTCTGGGCTTTCGGAGCTTTTTTCCATTTTCATACTGAAAGAAACTCTCAGTGCTCTCTGAGGAGTCTCTCTCTCTCCCCCATAGGAAAACACAAAGGTTTGATTCTAAATGGATTGTTTCTGCTGTTTTTAGTCTCCTGGCAAGTTTAGGAAATGAGAAGGAGCAATGTGAAAGGCCATTTAGGAGCATTTATTGGTTCAAAACTGGGACAAAAGCTTTTCCTAAGTTCATGCTTCGTATGACCCTGATTCTGCCTTCAGATGTGGATACATAAGCTTCCACTGACACCAAATCAAGCCTCCTAAATGTATCCCAGGAAAGGATTTGCTCTTAAAAACTTTGGGGTGTGGAAAGAAAGGGTATCAGTGCCGAACAAGAGCTCTTCCAAAACACCATCAGGAAGAAATTCTAGTTCCCTGGCATGTGCAGGCCCTAAAAACATAGTTCAGCCCAAGAGTTCAAGGGTAGATCTCCCTTTGCTGCATCACCTGCCATCTGCAAACAGTCAGCCCAGGTTACTGGTGTAGCAACATGATGAAACCTTCTTCTGGCTTGTTTTCAGCGCTGTGTGTATTGCTATTCAGCGTACTTTACTCCAGGAATTTCTGGAGTACTTGTATTTCCCAGAGACATGGGATCTTGTCTGCTAACTGGACCATACTGTGTCCCTGGACAATACTGTGTCACCGTGGACAATGTTATGTCACCCCTTTAAAGTACCATCTTTTAAATTTGCACTCTTCTCGGACTATGTGATAGCTCTTTGCTGTTTGATGTACCAGGCGTAAGTCAGAGTTTAGAGAAGTGGTGTTATAACCTGGGTCATGGAGGAGTTGGGGAGATGGGTATTTTCATAGCCACCCAAACCAAGTTAAAGTTTACAGTCTGTCTTCACTTTGTACTGGAAGAAATTGCTACAGTACGGTATTTTTTTTAAACTAATCTGGCTAATTCTTAAAACTCCATGGAAGATACAAGCACTGGGCACTATTACATTTAAGTACGCTTTTAAAGATCTGATTCTTACAGGTATGCAATTACTAACTTCCTTTACAAGATAGTCTGTAAAAAGAAATAAAATTGCTAGTTTGTAATAATGATGGCAAATAAATCTGCTTCTAGGTTGTAGAACACTGGGGCTCATGCCCTGAATCTTCAAAGGATTCCTCTGCCATGAATATTTAGTTTACATAGGACAAGAAACTGAATTAAGATTTGTTGCACTTTTAGCTAGTTTTATTAAATGTGGCAGCCTCCGCAACTGCTGTCTTGTCCCTGTACTCAAAAATCATGGCTGTACATTCCAAATGTCTAACAAATATTACGCGTAGTATTATCAGACTGTTTTTACACCTTTGCTATTTGACTTTTTGTACAACTATACTTATAAATACTGGAAAAGTGTTGTGACAAAGACTTTTTAAAAGAAAGAAACAAACTGGGCACTGAAAGAAGTATGGAATTGAAGTCTCGAGTGTCTCTTGATCATGTGAGCAATCATAATGAGTAGCTATGTTTTTCCTGTACTATTTTTTAAACCGAGTTACTTCATATTATGACTAGCATTTTCAAGTCAAGCAGAAATCACTGTAGCATCCATTACACTCGAACAATGAAGCTTTGTTAAATAGGAGTTTTCAAATTAATATTGACACTTTATTAACTGCACAGGCAGGAAGCTGTCAGGTTACTTGAAAATGGCTATTGTGATTTTGTGACTGTACATAGATCTTACAAATTGTTAATGGTAATACACTCCCTGCATAAACACTGCAAGAATAGCATGGTCATTGATCGGCTTCATAACTGTTTGTGGAAAATGTCTTAACCTGCATTCATGACTATAGTGTCCAACCCATTCCCATGCCTTTTTATACAGCTGTGGTGAGATTGCTATGAAACCCATTTGTCAGTCATGTTCAAGCTAATTTATCCTTGTATAGAATTTGTATATTAAAACCTTAATTTATACTGTGTTTTAACAGTTTGCCTGAACTGTCTCTGGTTTCTAAATTTTGTAACGTGGGTGTCAAATAAAAAAAGAATTAGCTGATTGTTGCTGGTCCAGCTGTTCAGATTTTTATGCGTGTGAAGTTTTATTCTTGGGCAAGATTTAGATAACTGTGAATCTTCAGAACAGACTGCAGATAAATCCTGGCTGCTCCTAAACAGCCTCTAAAAATATACAGACATAAGTGATTGCACCAGGCAGTTCTCAAGAGAGATGGACAAATGCAGATGCATCTCAGAATTTCTGCTCTTCCTTTCACTCTACTGTGGTATTTTCCCCTGTATACACTTGAGATTCATTGCAACGGAAAGTGCAATTCAAAGGGAAGCTCTGGTTTTTATTTTTTCTTGATTATCAGTTGCCATCCCTGAAAAATAAATGAGAAGAAGGCTGTAGATTTTAGTCTTGTCATATAACATTCCAGAGGTGTCAGTACACCAGGGTCGGTACACTGGATGGTGGCAGGGGCTACGTTGGATGTTTCAGAGAAAAGAAAAGATTAAGGTGCCACCAATACCCAAGACCTGCACTGCATGGAATAGGTCAGGTGAGATTTATCCAGCTGATTCCAGCAGGTGAACCATGCCTCATGCTACAGAGGAAAGGCAACAGCCAAACGTGGGGGGAGGAAAAACATCCTTCCTGATCTTATGAATGAGGCAATTACTTATGACAACCTTAAGTCCTTCACTGACTTATGCTTCTCACATAAGAAGTCCCAGCATTTTCAACTAATTTTTGTGGTGAATAAGATTATGGGTTCCAGCCCATAGTCAGAAGAAGAATTAATTGGCAGAGAGGTAGCTTTGCAGTGCTCCATCCTCAACCTGTCCCTGCTGGAGAGGCTGGGAGCTTTGTTCTCATCTCTAGTCATGATCTGTCCTGAAGTATCTGAAATGGAAATCCCATAAACAAGAGAAAGAGAGAGAGAGAGAGAGAGAGTGTGTGTGTGTGATAATCCTGTTGGCCTTTTGCTAAACAGTTTCACCCTATTTCTTTATCCTACAATTCCCTGCTCTTAGATGTGCCATGGCAACTTAAGACATCCCCATCTCTGTGTCATTAATTAGCAATGATTCCCCCTCCCCTCCCCCCATTGGGGGACTGACTGCTTTCTCTATAAACCCTAGAAATGCTCCCAGTACCCTTTTTTTTCCAAGTTCATCCATCACATTCCAGCTCCCTTTTTAAACATGGCACTTGGTTAGAGTCATTACTGTATCCCAAAATACAGCCCAGTTCCTGCTACTGACCAGCTGAGCTGGCACATGATCTCCATCTGCTCCTGAAGCAAACTACAGTGCAAACGATGGGAATCCTTTACATAAGCAATAAGGCAAGACAAAACTACTAATCAACCAACCTCTAACACTGACCTGCGGAAACCAACCAAGCCTTAATTAAGAGAAGCTGACTGGTCTTTGTACAGGATAGGGAGCCAGGAACTTCTTGTTCTGACATTGACTCTTGCTGTGGCTTTGGGCAAGGCATGTAACTTCAGCCTTTAATTTCCCCTCTGTAAAATGGGAGGACTAAATAATATCTACTTCTCCAACATGGTCGTTACAGGATGGATCAGTGACTGTTGTACAGCGCTTAGACAATGAAAAGTCGACTGTGAAGGCTGTGCATTGTTGATGCCAAAAATTAAAGAAATTTGTTTGGAAAATTGCACTCTGAAGTAAATAATATTGACACCATCTCAAACATGCAAATGTGCCATGGCAAAGCTAAAAAGAGGAAGAGAATAGGTACATTACTTTTGTCAAAGGGCATAATCTAAAATGTAGCTTTATTTTTTTTGTTACCTCCTAGGACAGTGTAGGCATTTGATATTACAGTCTCCCTATATAAACACTGTAATACCTAAAATACACATACGTGGGCATGGTAATGATTGACAATAGCGTACATGCATATAATACATTCAAAAGGCTGGGTATAATAATTTTCTTATCAAACTGCTGCCAGTAGCATGGTAGCATTAGTTCCGTATTACATGAAATCACTCGCCCTCCTCCATGCTGTCACAACTAGAGCTCCTCTGCTTTTATTTAGATCACAACCCCCTCTGAGATGGCCATTTTTAGATGAGCTATTTCTGCTTTTGGACTATATAAGGATGCTACGGGAATACCAGCATCCTCATGTGCTCTACTGCTGTGTCACCATCGCCATCTGCTGAACAAAAAGGAAAAGGAAACATTAATAAACTTTAACATTCCTGTGCTGTGTTAACTGACCCTGTACAAGCGTTATGTTCTGCCCACTGTCAACTAGAAAAATGTTTGAAGCTTTGCTCTGTAACTCATCTGTCCACTGAATGAGGAACTATCTTTGTTTTTGAAACTGCATGTATATAAATACCAAAACAGGTATCAGATGGAAACCCAGTAGTGTGGTACAGAACATAAGTACCAGATAGAGGAAGCAAAAGCAGATCATTTGTCTCTGTTGCTTATTGCTCTCTGTTCTGCCAGCGATACTGGCTACTTATTCACCTCTCCCTTAAGTGCCCTTGGGTTTTTTTTGCCGTACCTATAAGACACCTAGTCTATAAGGCCATTTCCCTTTCCTCTTCTACATCTTCTCCAGACCCACTTGCAAAATGATGTCCAAGATTGCAACCAATATTGCCTAGGTAGCTGGCCAAATAATATATGCAATATAGGCATAAAGTGTCTTACCCCCTGTTCCCTGCATTTTCTGCTGCTGCTTGTTTTCTGAGGGAGTGAGTTCCTTGAAGCCTGGAGCAATAGAAATGGTATAGATTCAATAGTAAAAACCTCAAGGTTATTAGTATAAGGACTAATAAAAAGGCCATCTGCTATATGCTGGGAGGTCTTCATCCGGAAATTACAGATGAGGAGAAGAACCAGGATATACCTGTGGAAAGCTATGATCCAACAATGTGAGGTAGTTGTGAACTGGTAAAGTATGATCCTAGGCTACATCAGGGGAGGTATTTTTAGTAAAGATAAAAAAGTAGACTGGAACTTGATAAATTTATAAAAGGTTTTATATAAATTGATTGATCACAGTGATGAGAGACTAGATGTAATGGTTCTGGTGGTCCCTCCTTCTCCTATATGCCCGTACCTAAAATTTTTTAGCGTTTTGTCAGGTGCCTTTTATTAGGTGTTTTCTTATCTCTGGGGCATCAGGTGCCCATCACTGCTGAAAGGAACTCACTTGATCTATTTTTTCTACAGGTCTCATTTCCTTATTGGTCAATATCCATTATATATCATATTTTATGAATTTACAATCTGCTATCCTCATTGATTTTACTGAAATTTATTGCTGAAGTCCCACTGAAATTAATTGCGTGGCCAACAAGTTTGGGTTCCATCTGGAATACAAAACGTGTGGTTTCATTGATTCACTTTCAGTGCCTGATTCATATATTCCTTCTCTTTTAATAGTTTACTCAGTTGGTATTCACTAAAAGTGGCACAGAGGACAGGTAGTAGTTGCAGCCTGATGGTTTAGACAGGAAATCAATTGTTTTAGATTTTACTGCTGGGCTTTTTGGTGTCATGTAAAAGAGAAGCCTGGAGGACAACTTGTGAACTAGTAGTTTTAAGTATGACTATGGAGTCTGGCATAATAATGTCAACTTAGACGCTAAATTGCCACAGCAGAATTTTAAAAGCAGAAAAAAACTCTGAACCTGGCAGAGAATATAAATCACCTAGGGAACACAGTGGTAGAATGCAACAGTTAGTGAGTTCATTATGAGGAATTAATTGATCAATACATTTCATTTGGCACCATGAAACTTGACAAAGATGGTGTCTAATTGACCGCTGATGCCAGGTGAAAAGTAAGGGAAGGGAAGCAGGCTGCATTTAGTATTGTTTTGCTATAGGGAGAGTATAGCAGGGCATGAAGGTACCTGCTACTTGTAGAGCCGGAATAACTACTCAGGTGCTGGTTGCCAGGGCAACTGGAGGAAGCCAGTGACCCACACCTGCTAGTGGTTGGGTGACTGGAAGGGGCAGGGCCTGGCTCCCATTTAAACCCCAGGACTGAGCCCAGGGAGGTAGTTCCCTGTTGTCAACTAAGGGGGAGGGAGTTCTGCCTGAGTGAGGAAAAGGAAGAGGTCTGAATAATGTGATACTGGTGAGAGATGGAAAGACCTTGGAGTGGCTTGAATGTGGTTATAGCCCGATGGCTTAGATTTACGTTATAGCCAAGGGGCTTGTGTTTTGTGTACTGTTACACTAGAGGTTTGGCTGAGGCTATTGGGGTTGGAGGCCTCACAGGCGGCCCTCGGCAGCATGGGAACCCCAGCCCTAGAGAGGGGGCAGGGAGAAGCCCCAGAGAGGGGCTGCAAACCCTGGCACCAGTGAGGTGTGATCTTAAAAGCCGGGGAGCTCTGGTGCGCCTGTGGTGCAGCTTTGTTTTAGGTTTTGTTTTGTTTTTGTTTTTTTTTTTGTGGCCTAGGAGGCCACAGGCTCAGGGTCATCCCCTGGTTTTGGGTTTGCAGCCCTCCGGGTGTGGGGTTGGTGCCCAGGCCTCTGGACCAGGCTCCAGATTGGAGCAGGAAAAGGGGCCCTGGGCCTTAAGAAAATGGAAAAGGCTAGAGTCTCCGAGTCAAACCCTGTTTAGTGGGTTTAGACAGGGAGGCCTAGCTAGAGAAAATCAGGGGTCAGTCCCACATAGGGGAAAGGCCCCAACATACCCAATACAATTGGCAGCCTCCTGCTCGCAAGAACATCATCCTAATTTCCATCAAGGCATGGCAGGCAAATATAGGGTGGGACATAAGAACCCCAAAGAAGAATCCAAGGGCGCTCCATGCAAGGCCTGGAGTACTAGGAAGATGGCACTGGGAAAGCAACCTGTTACAGAGCGATTAGTTCAAAACCTAAAACTAGTGTAAATTGTAGGAATCTACTCATTCAGCAACAAAGCTCACCAGCAGCAGGTCACTAGCACTGCAGGGTCTACGCTACCAACTTGTTGCTTTTGGGGTACAATTTGAGATGTTGGGGTTCTGACTTATAAACTCGGAATGATGCAGGATCTGTCTGTCTGAGAGACCATCTACATGATAGATACTCTCAACCCTGCCAGTATTAAGGCACGGCTGAGATGGGGCAATGGAAAGGGCATTTTCTACAAGGATTCCTTGGTGTGTTTTTTTTTTTTGTTTGTTTGTTTTTTTTTGTTTTTTTGTTTTTTTTTGGGGGGGGGGGTTTATTCACACTCATAATCTAATGCTGATAAGGCAAGGCGTGACTGATGGCAAAACCGACCTCTCAGCAGTAGCATTATGATCGTTGACAAGGGTCTGGGAGCTCTGAGGCACCTAGCTAACTTGCTCCAGAACCTTAGACAAAATTGGAAGATGAGACACAGATAAATATGAAGCAGTGTCTCGGCACAGATCCATAGATGTTAGGGGCTGGAAGGGATCTCAGAAGATCATCGGGTCCAGCCCCCTGCACCAAGCAGGAAAGATAACTGGGGTCAGATGACCCCAGCAAGGTGACTCTAGTCTCCTCTTGAAGATTTCCAGGGTGGACAGAGCTTATTCCACAGTCTGGACACCCTGACTGTCAAGAAGTTTTTCCTAATGCTGAGCCTGAATCGATTTTTCTAGGAGTTTGTAGCCATTACTCCTGGTTTTCCTCTTGGGTGCCCTGGTGAACAGTTGCTCACCAAGCCCTTGCTGTGTTCCCCTAGTGTAGCGGTAAGCTGCTACCAGGTCCCCTCTCAGCCTTTTCTTCAGGCTGAAGAGTCCCAGGTCCCTCAGCCTTTCCTCGTAGCCTTTTGAGACTCTGATCATACGGGTGGCTCTTCTTTGGACTCTCTCAAGTTTGTCCACATCCTTGTTCAAGTGCAGCCCGCAGAAACTGGACAAGGCACTCCAGCTGAGGTCTCACCAGTGCTGAGTAGAGCAGAAGAATCACCTCCTTGTCTTAGCTGGAGATGCATCGGTTGATGCACGCCAGAGTATTATTTGCCATATTGGCTATAACATCACACTGATGGCTCATGTTCATACTGTGGTCTGTTATTACCCCCAGGTCCCTTTCAGTCGTGGTCCTGGTCAGTTCGGTGCTGCTGAGCCTGTACGTGTGCTGGGGGTTGCTTGTCCCAATGCAGGGTACTTCACATTTCTCAACGCTGAACTTCATCAGGTTCTGACCTGCCTGTCTAGGCCCGCCTGTATCTGAAGCCTATCTTCAAGCGTGCCCATGCTCCCCCTAACTTGGCGTCCTCCGTGAACTCAGCCAGCAGCAATCAAGTAATGGTTTCTCAAGCAAAGGCTGCGTGCACGGAGTACACTGCTCCCTGTCCTCCTCAGAGGAGTTGGCTAGCAAGCACCATAGCCAGAAAAGGACCGAGGTGCTGAAGCTGCCTAGTGGTGATCACAGTCTGCAGTGACACGGACGCTGAGGCTCTAAGGAAAGCAAGGCGCAAAACCAGCAGCCTGGGCCTCCAGAGGGACTTGAGGGCTTGCCTTCACCATGCCGCTGCCCTGACACGGCCCTTTGGTACAAAGTCTGGGGGGGTCCCAAGCACTAGCGACCACCTTCCTCGCCCCAGACCAGCCTCCGCTTGCCGGTGGGGGAACACGCTGACTGAAGCGAGCACAACCGCTCCAACGGCCCGGACAGCTTAGCCCCGCCCACAGCAGGGGGGCGGAGCCTGGTCCCTGCCCACCCCTATCAAGGAGACTGAGTCTCCCCCTGCGGCGGTGGAGGGGATTATGCACGGTGCGTGCGTGTGGCGTCACTCCGCAGGGCGGGCGGCGGTGGAGGGGCCACGCACGGCGCGTGCATGTGACGTCCGCGCGCAGGGCGGAAGGCGGTGGAGGAGGAAGCCGGGAAGGGCTTAGGCCGCCATTTTGTGTGGGTACGTGAGGGGGGAAGGGACGGCGCTCCTTGCGGCTTCCCGACAGCCGTAAGTGTCGGGAGCGCGTCGGGGAGCCTGGGCCCGTGGGGGTGGGTGCGGGGCCCTTCCCTCAGCCGCTAGCGCGGGTTTAGTCCTTGCCTTGTAGCCGCGGCCTGGTGGGGGCGGGGGCCGTTCGCGGGCGTTTGACATTACAGCCCGGGGGTGTGAATCAAGAGAAACCAGACGGGCAGAGGGGGTCTCTTTTATTATCCCAACGCCATTTTTTGAAAAAAATAAAAATAAAATGCTTTAATGGCAAGTGTTCTGGCCTCCGAAATAAAGAGAAATCGGGTTTCAGGTGGTGGGATGAGCAGAGAAAACTCGAGGCTGGAGAAAGGGGAAATGTTTTCAAATACATAGGCTTGGCACGCACCGTCAGAACCGTGTTTCCTGCCGGGCTGGTGATTTTTAGGCTGGCTTTTTGCACTTTTCAGACACTGAGTTGTAGCGTCCTGTAGCGCTGTCTTACAGGTGGGAAGTGCCACCGAGGGGTCCATCTGTTTGGTAAGAAATTGGGCCTGGAGGGATATTCTTACTGCGTTAAGTGCCATAAATTTTAGAGTTAAATCGATCCTGTGTCTGCGTTCATTCGGTCTGTCCGTAGGACAGCTACCTGGTATGTTTTTGGGGTTAGTTTCTGAAATGAAAGATGCTTTGCTTCTGCAGTACGCGCTTGCTGTTTTTCAGCTCATTCTTTACTTAAACTTCAGTTTGTTTACCCGTTGAATGTACTAATTGCAGCATGTATTTTAGTTTATCCATGTTTTTAAATATCTCTTCTGAAGAAATTTACAGGTGTTTGAAGGCAGCGGTTCCCAGACCTTTTAGACTGTGGACTGGCAAACGGTCGGCCAGCAAACTGCAGACTGGCAGCCAACCCTTTTTTATGTTGAGTATAAAAACCATTGCAGATTTTATGCTGAGTATAAAAAAGGGTTGGCTGCTGGTCTCCACAGTATGCTGGTCACTGTGGACTTCTGGTCCGGCAGCCAACCATTCGTGGCCTGGGCCTTGGGAATCTCTGTTTTTAAGGGGTTTCATTTTATTCTACCACAATGCTTAAGAGCAGTAATTCAGTCTACTGCTGTCCTCGTTTGGGGCAGAGCAGCCAAATTGTAAAGCATTTGCTTAATTGCATGCTTAGGGGGCTCTCAGACTGATCACCCATCATGCTTCTGCAGAGCTCTGTAATCGGGCTCCGTGTGCACAGTGATTCTTACGAGAACTCAGTTCTGACTGTTGTCTTGATATTTGCGAAGTAAATGTGCAATAGTTTAAGGTAGTGTTCAGATAAAACAAGTATAGTGTTTGCATCAGAGAGAAATAGAGTCAGCTTCTAGTGAAATGGCACTTGCTGTGAGAGAATTCGGGAGCCCTCAAGACTTCTAGTAAGAGAAGCTGCATAAGCCATAATATGTTCCTAAAAGAATTACAGCAGTAGGTTGTGCTGCCACCGTCCCTTGGGTTGCCTCATCCTTGGTCATTGGCAGAGTGATCATTTGCAAACTCTTCTCACATACAGTGAGTCTTTGTTCAATTGGATTTCTGGAGTCTGATTGGAAGCATCCTCACAGGATTTCCCCATTTTTAGCGAGTGGACACCTTCAATAATCACATGGGCTTTTTTCAGTTTGAGGTGTCACTTGAGACAAATTTCCCGGTAACTTTAGGATGCAATGAGATTTTGAAGACGGTTAAGTTAGAATACTAATTCCTAATTTATGTTCCCTTGTAACAAAATGAAGCAAAGATGGGGTGGGAGAGGTTCTACCATGTAGTTAAATTTGAAGAAATAAGGGACTATTGAGGAGAGAGAAAACAGAACAGTAACTTGCAGAAATGCTTACTTTATATTTTATGTTTATTCAATCCAGAGGATGTTGCAGCTAAATATAACCCTCCCCCTCCCCACCTTCTCCGCCCCCAAATTAATTTCTACTGATTCTGATTCTCAAAAGTACAATGCTTTCGCAGCCTCTTATGTTATGGGTAAATACCATTTTCTTTTGATGCTGAATATTTTCTGTCAGTTTAAACTTCAGAGGAATATCAGACTTGTAACACTGGCCCTTGTTCCTTCATCCTGTATTTAAAACAAGACTGGCTAAAATCTAATCAGTCTGGAAATTGTTGCATCTTAAATATCTATGTTAACACTCCCGCTGTGTAGTGAAGCCATTTTCTATAGGATTCCTTTATATGTCAGATGTCAGCTTATCTGTTACTCAGTATTCTGTTAATAGTTTTCTGCCTGCAGTTTTGCAGATAGTGAGTATTACAAATTTGGTTTTCCATGGGGGCTTCACTATTCGCTATTTTGCATAAGAGATGTAGAGTATTAGACTTGTTTAAATAATGTATTAGTATTCTAAATTGTCATTTAGGAGCTTCCTATAGTAACAGTGCCTTTATTGTATAGCTGAAATCTCTTAGTATTGCATGCATTGAAAAGAACCCTGTTTTATTTAAAGCTGTTTTGCCATATCTGGTGTATAAACATTTTGGTTTCTCTACTACCTAGTGGTACATACGTAGAGTCACAGAAACCAGTAGGGGCTTTCTGGAGCAGCAGGCACGCGCACTAACAAATCTCAGTACATTGTGCAATTAGTCTGAATCAGTTTTTATACCTTGACAGCACTGTGAATGGTTACTGTAATCAGCTTTTCTTCATTTACTAACGCTGACATGGGTGGGATGTGTAAAATATTTTCAAAAGGACAAACGTTTCCACGAATGAGAGTTACTAACTTCACCTTAGTGTGTACTGTAGTAGTGAGAGGATCCAGCCTTTTTGGCAGGTGTGCTGCAAATTAGTCCTGCCCCCCACAAGTACCAGTGATCTCTCCTCTGCCCAGTCTGCTGCCTGCTTTCTGCTGCCTATTCTGTGCTCCCTGCCTGATTTCCACCCCTGCTTTCTGTTTCCTGTCCTGTGCTCCCTGCCTGATCTTTGCTCCGCTTTCTGCTTCTTGCCCTATCTGTTGCTCTGCTGCGTATTCTTTCCATTATCTATTCTACCCCATGCCACAAAGAGGGTGCCTGTGCCACTTGTGACACACTTGCTATGGATTGACCACCCCTATACTAGAGTGTAAAACTTTTTTCCCCTATTATGTTTTCCAATAGATGCGGCATTCAAAACGAACTCAGTGTCCTGAATGGGATGATGAAAGGAGCTGGGATGAAGGAAAGCACAGCAGCAGCCATAAACGAAGGAGGAGGTCCCGCAGCAGTGCACAAGAAAGCAAACATTATAAATCACATGAAACTTCAGACAGGTAAAAGGCTCTGGATTGAAAGCACTGATACCTCTAGTTGTGAATTAAAATAGTTTTTTATTTAACTTTAAATTTCAGATTTGAACATGTGATACAGCTTTCTGCAAGAGAATGTTTTGATGCATCTCCTTCAAGTGGAAAACCAAACTCAGTTCTTTTTAAGATCGTGTTGTTTCTCATCTAAAATGTCAGAGAGACACGTGTACAATTGCATGAAGGTGGTTATCTGCTCCCTCTGTAGCTTTCATGGCTCTTTGCTGGGAAAAAGTCTTGAAACACAAATTTAATTTTGTGTTACTAGTGTGTTAATGCATGCATTAATACAGGCCTAATTCCGTTCCAATTTTCAAGGTGGAAAATTGGCTTGCAGCTTTTTTTTCTCTTCGTTTAAATAATTGTCTGTTTAAGAACATTGGTTCTTGCACCATGTAATTTCTGTGTGTTTTGGAGAGAACTTGAGCTAAAGTAGTGTTATGAAAGATAGTTGTATTGGGAAATAGTTCTCACTTCTGGGTCTTTATCTCGTATTATTTGTTCAGGTTACTGTGCTGTTACAGTTTGTATTAACAGTAATGCATCTGAGATGTACTATTTAAATATCTCCACTGTGTAAACTTGCTTGTAAATGCCTACCTATTTCTCTGTGGGGAGGTGTGTCAAGACAGGATTGTCAGTGTAAAGAAAGATGCCATATCATTTACAGTTAGCCTTAGTAGTGCAGACCAAATCAGTTGTCTTGTTGGCAAGCAGGTATTTTTAAAGTGGAGACAATTCACTTTAAATATATTTTCAGTCATTATTTGGACGATAGATCCATAAATGAGAGAGACCGTCATGACCGGAAATATATTGAGGAATACAGAAATGACTTCTGTGAAGTATATGACCACAGGCGTTATCACAGAGACAATGAAAAGAGTCACCATCATCACTATAGCAAATCCTCTGGCCGGAGCAGAAAAAGTAGTCATAAAAAGAAGCATAAGAGACATCATTGCTCCAGTCACCATTCACATTCGGTATGAGTAATTTTTAACTTTATTATTAACAGACTAGTGGTAATAGACCACTATTGAGTGCTAGAACTTCAATTCATGAGTATACGAGCTTAAGGAAATTTGTCTTTTTGTAAATAAAAGATTCCTAGCATTCTCCTGTGTGTGTATGTGTATAGATGTCTCTAGATAAAACTTTAGAATACTGTACTAGGGGGGAAAATTATAATTAGTACTGCTTATTCTATCGTGTTTCACTGGACAGTGTAAGGTAGTTGGTAATTAAATCACTGACATTATCCTTTTAAATTATTGCCTGGAAGTACATGTCTGTTGACCATTATTCTGTGTGACAGCGCAACTATCCCAGCTGTTTCACCATGTTAATAAATTAAGTTTGCCACCCAAATCCATTGCTAATGATAATTAAAAAATATTTAGCTTTTTTATTTAAATGTAAATGCTTATACATGAACATGCAATTTGAGGTCTGTCATGTGTTGACAGCGAGACACTTCAGTTCCACACACCTCTTTCCAAATAATTTGATCACTTGTAATCTAATGGCAGCTGAGTGTTTTTACTGAAGATCAGATGAGCTTCCTGTCTGCATACTAGCAGGGCATGCCATCTGAAATTTTCTCTACCGGCATGATGCCTGTTGAAATTTAGTTGTATTTATATACAAAGTAATGCAAATTTGCCCCAATCATTCAGTAGAAGTAGAATGATGCATTAGATTACACACTGCTGTTCAAGGACTTTTTTGAGTAACTTCTTTGCTTTAAATATGAAGGAAGTAATATTGCTTGATAAATTCTTTTACTTAGATGACTTCTGTTATTTAACAACTTTGGTCAGTCAAGGAATTCTCACCTGGCTATAAGATTTATATACATGAATAAACATTAACTTTTGCTATTTTATATTAAGTTATTAGAAAATAATGATATTGCAGTCTTAATATCAGTCTTCAGCTAAACCAGTGTTTGAGAGACAAAATTGTGTTGTTTTTTCTGTTGCCTTATCACTTTCAGTATTTATCTGAAAATCTGTTCCTTGCCATGTTTTTCTTCTGTAACATAAACTGTGCCCTGTGAATTTCTGGGGACTGAATTTGAAATTGCTCCTGCCAACTGTTCGTGGCCTGGTGCGTAACTGAATGCCTGAATATCTCCCTGCTGAATGAATTGCGTATTCTGCCCTGAATTCACTCTGATATATTGATTGGCTGGACGATCTTGGTGCCGTTTCCAGAAGAGTCACCGAAGGAAAAGATCCAGGAGTGTAGAGGATGATGAGGAGGGTCACCTGATCTGTGAAAGTGGAGACGTACTAAGAGCAAGATGTATAGAACATTTTTCAACACTTTTTAAAAAAACTTTTCAGCAAAAAATCTGTTTAGAATAGTATGTCAGGAGGGGGGCTAAGGAAATCTTCATTGCTCTTTTTGTTCTTTTTTTTGTGCTTTTTTTTGTTCTTTTGCATATCTTCTTTTCTGTAGAATTTAAATACTGTTGTTCCAAAGTAGTAAATGAAGCTTGAGATTAGAACAAGAGATAGTTGTTAGCTAATTTTTTCATGACACCTGTCCAATAAAATAACACATTCAGATGTTGAGGCTTAAAGCAATTATTCTTTTAAAATGGCACATTTTTTAAAAACCTACTTTGATAGCATTCATCACTATTTGAGTAAGGCAGTAACTAATCTGACTTTTTTTCTTTCATCTTTTTAGATGAAATTGTTGATACTTTAGGGGAAGGAGCATTTGGAAAAGTAGTGGAGTGCATTGATCACCATATGTAAGTATACTTATCATCTTTGTAAGCATACTGTTACAGTAAAACTTTTTTATTTGGAATATGAAAAGATAGTCCAGGTATTATTTCTTTCCTGTAATATAGGACTTCAGATAAAATATAAGCTGTTGCGGTATATAAGTAGAAAAAAATCATTGCACTTTTCAATGTTGAGAAGACATAATAAACTTGGATGTGTGTTTTATTGTTTAAAAATAATGTAATTTCAAATACTGCATCTGTTTGTCAGATTCCCTTGTCAGTTTGTAAGGTTCTTCATCCATATAGGCCTATCTTTCAGTATTTTTCTTTCTCCTGTTGCTGTATAAAAACCCATGCAAACAGGGCACTGACAGCAGGTGGGAAATGGTGGTACTATACAGACATTTAACTACATGATATCCCAACATAATTGTTAGGTAGCTGGTATTATTGCCTCTTTGTTGATGGCACAACTACAGTGTGTGAGGGGTCCAATCCTCTATTTGGCCCCTACAATTCGTGTTGAAGTCTTTAGGAGTTCGTGGGTATAGAGAGAATACAAAATTGTATGTGGAGAAGTTTACTTACAGAAGACCACACACTGAATCATTGGCAGAGCCAATTTAAAGCTACTGCTTGGAATTAGAAATTGACGTTTCTGGCTTTTAATAATTTTCCTCTGTCCACTTGACTTCTTTTTAACTTTTGTATTTTAAAAGGCCTATTTTGAATGGACAGCAATCCATTATACTTTTTTTTATGCATGTAGATCTGTCGGTTCACAAGAGTGGGGAAATATTAAAAATCGAAGGGTAAGCTGTGTTTAAAATTGTGAAAAATATTTTCCTTAGTTCCAGCAGGAATGTTGGAAACACAGCAAAATAGTAGTGTGAGGTGCTGAGAAATTTGCCATTTTTGTAGTACTTGTGTGCTCTTTTCAGTGAGGGCCCTGTTAACTGTTGTTGAAGACTAACCCATCCTGTGCCTTACAGGGGATATGGCCTTGCCTCCAACTGAAAACTGCAGTTAATGAAAAACACAGCTGCTGGTCTTTTAATGGCATCTGGTTAATACATTTATAATGCCAGTCGGTCCCTTAACAAGTACTAAATTCAAATGCCCCTAAAACCTAACTTGCAGTTCTCTGGTGCCTGCAGTTTTTGAAAGTGCCTTTGAATCAAAGTGCATTAGAATTTTATAGGAGTATAGAGTGTATACTTTTGAGAACTAATACAGTACAGTCGTAATGTTTCACTTCTTATTTTCAAGGAGAGGAATGCACGTAGCGGTTAAAATTGTGAAAAATGTTGGTAGATACCGTGAAGCAGCCCGCTCAGAAATACAGGTGTTGGAACATTTAAACAGCATGGATCCAAGCAGCACGTTGTAAGTGTAAAAGTGGACTACAAGTCAATGTCTTAAGTATTTGAAGAAAGAGACTATTTTATACATTAACTGTGTTTTCACTGTTTTTTTTTATTTAAGCCGCTGTGTCCAGATGCTAGAATGGTTTGATCATCACGGTCATGTTTGCATTGTTTTTGAGCTGCTGGGACTTAGTACCTATGATTTTATTAAAGAAAACAGCTTTTTGCCATTTCGTATTGATGACATAAGACATATGGCGTATCAGATATGTCAATCTATAAATTGTAAGTAAACTGATATCTTCATAATGTGTGCTCTAAAATTTTGAGAAAATAGTTTATTAAATCAAGATTTCTGTTTTCTTCTTTTAGTTTTACATCATAATAAGTTGACTCACACAGATCTGAAGCCTGAAAATATTTTGTTTGTGCATTCAGATTATATAGTAAAGTACAATGCTAAGATGGTAAGTTTACATATTTTTTGCCAGCTCCTATTGGCCTGTTTTTATACTGTTTATTTTTATTCGGTCTGTCTTAAATGTTAGCTTGTCAAATATGAAAATATGTGATAAAGAGTTGTCTTACCTAGGCTAGTCAGCTGTTCCTCAAGCTGCATTATCCTTTTGCTGACCTTATAAAATTACTTGGATTTTAAGCGACTGGTCTTCAAGGGTGGCAGAACAATATCACACAGTAGCAGAACAGGGCCCGTGTTGCTTTCCTAAGTTCCAGCATTTCATAGAAAGTTTAAGTTGACCCTGTGAGTCTTCTGAAATTCCAACAAATGAAGCCAAACCATAGAAATATAGTTTGGATTTGTGTACTTCATAAACCACATCAAGCAATCATCCTGCACTAAATCTAACTAAGACTTCAGTCCTAATACCAACATATTGTTAGCTGAAGCAAAATATTCTCAATAAAAATACTTGTGAGACATTCGTGTGCATGTGGACATGCACATACAAGCTCAGGACAAAACAGCTTGGATTTTCTTTTTTTTTCCCCAGGGTTGGTCATTATTTCATGATATGTTGCAGGTATTTTAAAATGATATATGTATATACTATGTTTTTTCTGAACGTCAGCTTCTTCATCTGATTTTTTTTTACAGAAACGAGATGAACGAACACTAAAAAATACAGATATCAAAGTTGTTGATTTTGGAAGCGCAACTTTTGATGATGAACATCACAGTACATTAGTGTCTACGAGACATTACAGAGCTCCTGAGGTTATTTTAGGTCAGTAGTCTTTGATGCATCCTGACAGATAGGACTTGGTGTGTTAATTACCATTCAGCTGAAAGCTCCATCACACTTCATAATATGTACTGATTACTTTCTGATAGTCATGGTAATTCAGTGCACAGTTCTTTCTGCTATTACTAGGCAGTTTGTGATGCTGAGTTATGGATGGGAACCATAACTCTACACTACACTACACAAAGTTTGTTCTGTGTTTTTGATATAAAAATTATTATAGTATTTATTAAAAACGTCACTAAAATGTTTAGAAAATAAATTCTTATATTTTTATATCATAAAATGGCTTCAGAGGGGAGAGAAGTTTTAGAGACAGTTGAATTGGAATTAAGCAAACAACTAGTGGTGGCTGATTGGTGAATTATCAACTTTCAGCTTAAGCTAAAATATTTTAAGTATACTTTGGTTTTCTTTTTGTCTTTGTAGCATTGGGATGGTCTCAGCCCTGTGATGTTTGGAGTATAGGTTGCATTCTAATTGAATATTACCTGGGTTTTACAGTATTCCAGGTAGGTATCTAAAGCAAAGTAAACCATTTTGTTACTGACTCCTGACTTGATCTTTCTAAGACTCCTACTTACAAGACAGTAACAGTTAAAAGCAAACTATTTGTGATTTTAAATATTATAGTTGATATTGTAAATGGAATACATTTTATCTAAGGTAACATGCTTTCTTTATAAGTCTTTAAAACTCGTAGAATTTAGCTAAGAAAATGATATAAGCTGTTACCTAATTTATTTATAGCTTTTGGCAGTCTGAGGCAGGGATACAGCAGAAATAAGTTCTAGTAGTCTTACAGGTACTGCTAAACATGCAAAAATGAATGAGTGAATTTAACATGCTGTGTTGTATGAAAATTGGCCTTTCATTGACCAGAGAGTGTTGTACAACTGAATTGGCATTTATATGAAAAAATTTCCTGTGCTTTTAAGGAGCATTGGGTGGTCTCTGGCTGAGAAGAATACATTAATGGCTAGAAAATGAGTTGAATGAATGTGTCCATTGTTAAAATCACAATTTTGAAGGATTTTGGGCAAGTTGCTCCTTCTGTTTGTCTCTGAAAATATGGTAAACTGATTGTTAGTAAAGGTATTTGAGCTCCTTAGATTAGTTGCTTTCAGAGTTGCTTAGTACAGTTTTTTTTTAAAAGTTGCTATCTATCTTTAAAATCTTGCTGCTATAAGTAAGTGTACATGAGCAATTTTATAAACCATAAGTTTGTCTAGGAAAAAATACTGAAAACTAAAAATCACGTAATGTTCTTGTTAAGAACCAACACTGTCATTTTTTTTTTTTTTGAGGAGAGCATTCCTGCCCTGGGAAGTATAGTATATTCCCAGCATGGTTTCGTTTGTGCTTATTATTCATAATAGTAGTAATAGCAATATACAGGAGTAATTTTTTTAAGATTCTGTAATAAAGCAATGGATGCCTCTTACAATGTAGACTAAATATCATTAAAGAATGTACAGGGCAAACAGCATGCAAGTCTCAATAACTCTTTCTTTTTACAGACACATGATAGTAAAGAACACCTAGCAATGATGGAGCGAATATTAGGGCCTCTACCTACTCACATGATCAAGAAATCAAGGTAAAGTCTTTATAGGGAGAGCTAATAGCAACCCCTGTCTAGTTTTCTTAACGTTTCTGTTATTAAAAAAATAAATCGTGCATCTCGGAACTCTAAAATGTCTTTTGTTTGTCTTTGAAAATTGGCTAGGGAGACATCATAGGGTTCTTCCTGAAGAGTTTGCATGAACAGGTTTGTTACATAATTACTCAACAGTTGTGTAGTTCCCATCGCCTTCATATTTCCAGACTTGAAAACTTCTTTGCACTTTAATGGTAGAGTTATACAGTAGCTTTTAATAGCTGGCCACACCTGAAGTCTCCACAGTACTGTAAATGAGCCTGCTACCTGCTAAATCAGTACTTTCAGATGGTTTCTGTGCAGTTTGGGAATTCCTGAATTTGTGGCCAGAGATGAAGGGCTTTTAAGGATAATCTGCCCTTCCTGGACCCTCCAGGATGGGGTTTGGCCCTGTTGGATCCCATTTTGCTAAAGTTTAAGGTGTGTGGCACTTGGTTCCCACAAGTGTGAAAAGCTACAAGCTGATACTGAGCTGTAGAGAAAATGTCCTTTGTTTCTAGACTAATAGTAAAAAAAAAAAAAAAAAAAAAA